TGGTCCAAGTGATGACTGGTTTTAATTTAAATCAGATATTTTCTTAAAAGTAGGGGGAAAGTATACCATACTTATACCTGGAAGTCTCTTACTCTAGAAAATTAGGTCCTTGATATCTGCTAAGATTTTACATCCCAAGTAATTTCTAGGAGCATAATAGGAAATGCACTTGCACAAATATTAAGTCTGAGCCATTAACATCCTGGTTTTTGCTTTGATGCCCATGCAGAATTAATAAAGTACCATAATTCAGGCTGGGGTCGTGGTTCAATGGTAGAATGTTTGCCTAGCATGTGTTAGGCCCTGGGTGTGATTCCCAGCATAGCAAAAGAGGAAGGAAGAAAGAAAAACAGAAAGCATCATTATTCAGGCTCTCCCTGCCTCCTGGACTGGTCCTGGGGAGACCTCTGTCCTGGGGAGACCTCTGTCCTGGGTCTCAGGTCACAGGCACAACACTCTGGCCACCCCAGGCAGGCACAGATCACGGCTCAAAGCCTGCAAGAGAACCAGGCTCCAGATACCTACCTTCCCATCTCAGCTCTGAATTGACATTCTGGGGTGTCTCAAAACACTCCACCTCCATGTCTTTTATTTATTAGTTTTAAAATGTTGAGATGAGAATTATCTTATACAAAATTTATTTCAGCATATGTTCATGTCCTGGTGGATTGTTTGCCGTAAAGATAAAATTCTCCCTGCTATTCAGGACACTTATGGGCCACTTTCTCCAACTTCTTAACCAGAAGTGTTTCAGAATGTCAAACAAACGCTGCCGTCAGCCTTAGCAAAACAATACTAAGCTGTGCTGCCTCCAAATATATGCAGCCTTTTCTCTTCCCCATGACTGGATCCTCCACCAATTTTATGTTAAACTTCACTAAATCAAATATGAATTTACCCCCCAAAGAGAGAATAACTTTACAAAAAGATCCACAGTTAAAAACAGAAAGCATTCCAATGGCATATAAACTGTGGTTTCTCTTTTTTCATACCAAGGATGAAACCCAGGGGTACTTAACCACTGAGCCACACCTCCAGCCCTTTTTGTATGTTTTTAGAGAAAAAGTCTCACTTAGTTGCTTAAGGCCTTGCTCAATTGCCCAAGGTTGGCTTTGAACTCACCATCCTCCTGCCACGGCCTCCCAAGCCACTGGGATACAGGCGTGCACCATCATGCCTGGCTAAACTGTGGTTTTATTTTTGCTAAAACTAAGTTGATCCACCCACAGCTCATCAGAAAGAGACCATAAGCATAAAATTAAGACCTAATGATTTACACCATATTTGTGCTTGTTTATCCCAGCACAAATCCCACACCCAAAATGCTTCCTGATGCTGCGTTGATGTCCAAAGACATTCTCCTCTTCTCCGTTCTCTACAGCATTTGGGGGAACTACTCCTTGATCCTTCATGCTCGAGTTTGCACAGGCTGCCACACCATAGACTGAGTGGCTTCAACAACAGAAATTTATTTTTCACCTTGTCAATCTATATTTAGAGTCTTAGTAGGTATCTATTTCTTCTCCCTCCTCAATTTGAAGGGTGGAAGGCCTTGTTTGATGATTCGATGTCCCCAGCAATCAATTGTTTGATGGATCTTCTTGATCACTATTGGAGATTTTGTTCACATTAGTCTTAATATAAACATATTTTGAGGAAAACAACTAATGGTTTCATGTCAGTGACTAAGATGTATGTTTTCCAAGGTTCCTTACAAGTACGATTGCTGGTTTCCCATCACCATCCACATAACTTCCCTATGAAATTTTCCCTCTCAAGGAAGTTTCAGCCATTTGATAAATTTATACACAAAGGTCTATGGCCTCCCAAGAATAATGGATTAGTCTGATGATTTTGTTTTTGTTTTTGTTTTTTTGTTATAGAAAAATACCTGAGATTAGATAACTTTATAAAGAAAAGATGTTTATTTACCTCATAGTTCTGGAGAGTAGTAGTCCCAGATTGGGTGGCTCTATTGGTTTGGTCTCTAGTGAGAGCCTAATGGCAAATGGCATCATGGCACCATGTGGGAGAAGAAATCACATCTCCAAACAGGAAGCCAGAGAACAGTCAGGGGTCAGGTTCAGGCTTTTGTAAACAACTTGCTCTCACCAGAACTCACAGATCCCAACAGAGCTACCTTTATTCCTTCTGAGGGCAGGTCTCCCAATAACTTAGAGACCTCCCATGAGGCTCCACCTCTTCAAGGTTCCACACAATTTCCCAGCATCACCACACAAAGGACTAAGCCTCCAACACATGAACCCTTGGAAAATAAATCACATCCAAAGCACAGAAAGGGACTAGCCCTAACTTTTTAAAGTTCCCTATGCATTTCTTACTTTTAATGTCTGCATCCAATAGCATCTGGAATTCTGGCCTGATTAGGACCTGAGCAGTTCATTCCATTTTATTTTATAGCTGAGGAAACAGAGGCCCAGAGCAGTGTAATGTCCTACCAAAGTCTTCCTTGCAAAGACTCCAAGCAAGTTCTCCTAGTTCCAAGGCCAGCATTTCCCCACCCCAGTAACCCATCACTCCTCATCCTGTAGCAAAGAGAACGCCAAAGGTTTCCTGTCTTTTACACAGTGTTCATGTAATGAAGTGTGACCATAACCTCTCTTGTGAATTCTGGAGAACCCTAAAACAGCATATCTTTTGGTACCAAAAAGATCTAGTATAACAATTTTGTTGGTTCATAAAATTCTCAAATGCTCAATCCATATGTTTAAGTACAATTTCCAAAGGATATATTCTTCCTTATATTTTATTTTATTTTTTTAAAAAAGGAGTTTTTCAAAATCAGGTAGAAAAATAAGTGTGGTTATTGGGGGGAAAGAATTTAAAATTGATTCCCGAGTCTGTTCCAGGATGGTGGAGATGATTCTAGTTTCAGGCCCTGCCATCTTCTCGCCTGTAAATTCTGCCTCAAAACTGTGAGTTTGCTCAGCAGGTACAAGACAAATCACACCCAACGACGTTTGTACATAGTAAACACGAGCCTGCTAGACAAATCTGTGTACAGTATTACTTCTACAAAAAGTGGACAAGTCAATTTATATACCAAGCCGACTTTCAAATCAGATTATGCATATTTTCCATTTAAAAATATGTAGACATAACATGTACAGAGAGCTTGTGGCCTCCTCAAGTCAGCCTCGGTTTGAAAGTGAAGGGGAGATCTTTGTCAGACACTCATGGAAACTGTCCCATCAAGGGCTCTTCTCTCCTCAATAGACAATGGAAAATATCCAAAGCCTGAAAAGAAGGTGTCTCAGTGTGACAGAGACTTTGTGCAAATTATTCCTTGTGCCAATATCAGGAACGTAGATCTAAATCACAAAAGGCCGTGTCACGGGCTTGGTTTCTCTGAGGCGTTGTGATGGTCCTTTCTTTCTTACTGGAGTCTGCCTTTCTCAACTGCATTCTGTTCATTTTCCACTGCAATTGAGAAAAGCTGCACGTGGCAGTTTATGAATCCCGCCTCCCAGCGAGGCTCTGATGGACAACTGGCGTGGGGGCGGTCTGGGTGTGTGAAACTCCCTGCACGGAACTGAAGTTGGGTTGGGACATACAATTACATCTATGTGTGACCCAGCAGCCTGCAAACTGCTTCCCCACAAGGGGAGAAGCTTGCCAAGTGAGGACCAGAGAGGCTTTTGTTAATTATGTTTATCTTAGAGACTCGTTGTTTGTCTATTGGGAGAAATTAAAAAAAAAAAAAACAACAAATAAATTCTTTCCTGGTGCACAGTCTGATCTCTTTCTCTTTTCCCATGTCTTCATCTCTAATTCTCCACAGGATCGCTCCCCTTTAATTTGGGGCATCAGTGTATATCATTTTTATGCAAACGTGTATATAATACCTACACGCAAAGTCAGAAATTCCAGAATTGCCATCCCCTTTCTGTTAACATCATTTCTTAGGGTCTCCTTGAGTTCTGAGTACCTAGTTCAGGGTATCAATCCATATTTCCAGACTCCTTTGGCTTTGGTGTTCTGTTGAAAGCTATAAAGACATTTCAGCCTTCTCCTCCACTTTCTGTTAACATAATTTACAAAGTTCTCCCTGGGTTCCAAGCACATAGTTAAGTTCTGCATAACCAGTAATAACAGTGCATTCTTAAAAACCTCCCTGGATAGTTTGCTAAATTCTTTCTGAGAACCTCTTGCTGGCCCTTAAAAAGATTAGCTGAAAAACAAACCAGAAGCTGGGGGTCCCACTACATGAGCAGAAAGAGGGCTACACATACTTTTGCACGGACAGAGGATCGGTTCATTGACACATTTGGAGCTCAGGCAATTCCAGACAGAGGCCACCTAAACATGACCCAAGGCAAATCCACCTTCCCCAGCCCAGGCAGTCTGGGTTAGCTGGACTTTTGTTTGTTTTCTCAAGGTTGTATTTGTTGGCTTGCTTGCTTTTTATAGATGCTGGAAGTTGAAAGGGAGGAATCTCAACTCTACAATTCTTTTGGTCTCTATGTCATTTCACCTGACCCAAAAAAGGCAAAAGAGGAAGAAATGGCATTGCTAAGCAATACCAAAGGGTGTGACCTAAAAACGCCTCCAAGTCGCCCAGGAACTCTAGGACTTTCCTCTGAGGAGTCTCAAAGGGTCATTTTCACAGTCTAACCTGTTGGTAAACCAGCTAACATAACTCAAGGATGACAGGCACATAGCAAAGGACAGAAGGAATTTGGCACTGGCACATAGAGACCTGCCCATTTCTTGCACTTGAACTTAGAAACCCAGGGTTAGCTAGAACTTTGATTTGTGTTAACAAATAATCACTTTTTAAATCGCCCCATATCGTTGATTGCTATAGTTCTCTTTTCCACCCTGAGAATCCCAAACAGGTCCTTGGGAGAATTTGGGGGAAAAAATACAACTGTGGAGGGAGAAAAAAAATCTTAACCAAGAACAGATTCTTGTCTATCTTTGGTGTCCTGCTTGACTCTAGACCTCCCCTCCCTCCAAGAGGGTGACACAGTACTCACCAGTCATTAGGGTGTAGTAATTGGGATACGAGAGGGTAGGGAAGTCAGGAGTCAGGTAATCCACTTTTACTCCTCTGCTCACAATCTCTTGGAAACCAGGCAAGGATTCCAGAGCCTCATCGCTGATGTAGTCCCAGCGAAAACCATCCAGTAGAAACACCAGGAGCTTCCGTCGGGCAGAGGCTGGCTGAGCCAGGCTGAGCCCAAGGACCAGCAGAAGGGACCCCAGCTTCACTGCCATGCTGCCAGGAGCCTGCCCGAGCCCGGCACAGCCGTCCCCTTGCAAAGACTGAGGATGGAGAATCTGTAGCTATTCTCTCTTCTAGGGGCTGGACCTTGAGCTAGCTGCTGGCCTTCCTGAGCCAAGTTCACTTTCAAAATTTAAAGGGACAGCAACCCCTTTTAAAAACATCTCTGCTCACCCAACAAAGTCTGGAGACCCAACTCCCATCAGATAAGCTGGGTTCCCAAACAACCCAGAATTAGCACCTGAGGAGGGAATGCAGTCATTGTTTTTGGTGAATGTTCCAGAAATACATACGGAGGAATTTTAGAAGATGACAAAGTGAACACTACACAGTTGCGCTAACCAAAGGGAGGAGCCAAGGAAAGGACAATCTTTTAATTTGTTGTCCTCCCACCATCTCTGCCTGATTTAAACGTTCTGTCTGCTTCACTTACAATTTAGGAATCCAAGCCTCTTAACTTAGCACGTAAACGAGAGACAATAGATTTAGGTGGACCTATTTGTGAACTTTCCAGCATTGTTGCCGTAGCTGTGGCATTTAAACACAAATTATTTGTTAAGGTCTCGACCACTTATTTTTTCTTCATATACATCTATATGCAGTGTTATTGTTATTTTTTTTTCAATTACAAATAAATTTCTGGCGCCTGAACCCATTTGTAGAAGGAAGTGTTTCACACAAGAGCAGTAGAGCAAGAGAAGGTTACAGAGTTGAACAATAAGAGTTCATTCCTGGCAGGTTGGTCTAGGCAGCGTTGTCCTAAAAGGGTAAAAATAAGATAATGAGCTGGAGGACAGGAGTTTGAAATGGAAAAGCAGAGGTAGAAATAACCCAGCAGGATTCAGGTAGGAATACTAGGCAGAGGAGAAAATAGGTCCCAGCCAAGGAGGTCAGGCGCAAGTGGGCAAGGGCCAGAGTTAGCACCAGTATCCAGATTTTGGGGGTTTTTAAAGTGTTCCTTTGCCTGGTATAAAATTAAATGAGATAATTCATATAAAGGCTGATAAGATATGTAAGGACATAATAAGGACTTAATATATGTTAGAAATTATTATTAGTGTTAAAATGCTGCTTGGATCCTAATGAAATGTGTCAGGGTTCAGGCAAAGCTTTACAAGGACTCAAGACAATCAGATGCAGGCCACTCTCATTATGATCAATCCTATAGTGCCTCTTCTACTTCTGCCCTCTGCCTGTGCCTTTCCTCCTCCTCTTGTTTTGCCATGTTTAAAGTCAAGCCCCTACATGGCACCATGTCACTTTTTAAGTCATACTGCAAAAAAGCAAACATCGGAGCCAGATTACCGTTTCCATCTCAGCTGACTTGAACAAAATTAGACTTCGTTTTTCGTTTTTAATGCTTTCTACAATTTAAATTAAAAAAAAATTCCTTATAAGAAATAATTTGGGATGGTGGTATATGCCTGTAATCCCAGGAACTGGGGAGGCTGAAGCAGAAGGCTCACAAGTTTGAGGCTAGCCTGGGCAACTGAAAGAGACCCTGTCTCAAAATAAACATAGAAAAGACTGGGGAGTTAGCTCAGCAGTTAAGCACCCCTGGGTTCATTCCCAGTACAAGAAGAAGGAGGAGGAGGAGGAGGAGAATTTATTATTCTTAATGCTTATTAGTTGAAAACATGCTATCATGCTATTTATTTGAAATTTAGGATATTATTGTTGTTCTATACAGAAAAAGAAGGAAAGGAAAGATGTACTAATGAACTGATGAGCTGTCTAGACACCAATCCTCCCACACATTAAAAGAAGAATTTTAGCCAGCAGCAATGGTGCCTGCCTATAATCTGGAAGCTGAGGCAGAAGGATCACAAGTTTGAGACCAGCCCAGGCAACTTCCTAAAATCCTGTCTCAAAATAAAATAAAAAAAAGGATTAGGGATATAGCTCAGTTGGTAGAGTGCTTGCCTTGCAAACACAAGGCTCTAGATTCAATCCCCAGCACCACAAAAAAGAAGAAGAGAAGGAGAAGGAGAAGGAGAATTAAAAGAGTAACTTCTTTCCATAGTGAGTAAGACTCAAAGAAGCACAGATCTAGCTACACGTACTCCATCAGTTCTGAGTAGTTCAGGCATTTTCTGGAACCTGAACCAAGAGCTATAATCACATTGCAAATCCAGATGATTTGCTTTTGGGGTAACTCTTGGGCTAACTTCAGGGGAGATAAAAAGAGATAATTTTAAAGATGAACCTAAAAGTTTAACAAGGGCTTAGACTCCTCCTTTACAAATTATTGCCTGTGAATGTCTAGGGGTAACTAAAAGCAGGATTAAAGACAGAGCATCTCTGCCTCCATTTCACAGCTGTCTCCCTTCCTCAGAATCACCTTGGATTCCACCAGTAAGTCTGATTGATAAACATCTTCTGAAGAGTGGAAGCTCCCCCTCCCCCGCACCAGACAACAGCAATTCTCTTATTGCCCACAAGGCCCAGTCCGACCAATCCTGAGCTAATGATGGACAGGCCACACCCAATCAAGATCACCTGTTTTGGTAACTGTGGAAAGTCTTCAGCCTTTCAACCCCCCAATCCTTGCCTTCATCCCCTTGTCTATGAAACCTCAAAGTCAGTGTCAGCATCTCAAAGGCAGAGCTAAGGTCTCCGGTCCCTTTGTCTTTCCCAGTGTAGTTACACTGATTAAAGTTCCTTTCATGCTTTTCACCATTATCCTTTCTGTTTGTTTTTTGAGATGAGTAGCTGGATCTGATTGTTGAATCCTCAAAGTCAGGCCTCTGGCTTAGAACTCCAATAACAAAGGACCATTCTCTTTGCTCTGACACTAGCAGGGGTACATCCAAAATAGAGCTCTCTGAATGCTCCACCGAGTATTGAAGATGACAAGTCTGAACAAACATGTTCCAATTTAGAATGTCGCAGACCACTCCCCACCCAGGTTGCCAAGGCCCCATTAATATTGCTGCTATGTGAAGCCATTGCTTGCGTGAGCTATATTGTTTTATGTTGATATTCATGATCAATTTTTTTATAATCATGGTTAGTTTCTCTAAAGTTTTAGATCAACAAATTATTGCTAAATAAACATCTCTAATATACATACATATAGAAAAAGAGATGTGAGATGGAATTCAAACCAAGTAAATCCTAGTATTGCTTATAGTCAGACACCTGGTTTGTACCTTGTGATTTAGAAAAGGTTAGAAATAAAAGTCAAAAGACAATAGGTAAGAGCAATTGATCAAAATAAGTGGTTAATATTAATTTCTTGAGGTCTTATTGTTTTGATTTCCTCACTTGGAAATGTTTATCAGCATCTATTATTTTGAGTGCTTATTGCTAAATAATTTTCAAGGGTTGACAATACTCTTTAGGTCATTGACCACAGGGGTTTCACTCAGTGAAAATATAACAATATTCTCTTATAGTCAGAATCACCTTTGTCCTGAAAGCTATTTCAGGTCTTGCTAGGGACATGCATAATCTCTCAGGAATGCACTGATGCAAATCCTGATACAGGAATGTGTGTAAGTTAGGTTTCTCCAGAGACAGAACCAATGTGATAGAAATAGATAGGTACATGTACAAGAAGAGACTCAAGAAATTGGCTCATAGGATTACCGAGGCTTAGAAGTTCCAGACTGTCTTGCAAGCTGGAGATCTGTATGTTCATATATATATATAGCTTCCAGTTTTGTACTTCAGGGTTTGAACTGGAATATTCTGGAATGGGAATGGTGAAATGGAAGGCACAGGGATTAACTCTGTTCCTGATCAGGTGGAGAACATATGGTTCTTCTCTCCACACCAGGTAGAGGGCACAGGGATCTACACTCATCACTGCATGAAGGACACAACGACCTGCTCCCTCCACGAGGATCTACTACCATCATGGGGTGAAGGTGTGGAGATCTACTCCCCACGTTTAGCAGAGGGCAAATTGACCCAATCCCCATACTGAGTAGAGGGTACTGGAGACTACATATTCATATATATATTCACACATTTACATATATATATATCTTCTCCAGTTTCATGTTTCAGGTGTTGAACTTGAATTTTCTGGAATGGGAACTCATCAGATGAAGGGTACAGGGATTAACTTTCTTGAATAGGTATAGAATACATAGTTTTAGACATCTCACCATGTGGAGGGCATGGATATCTATTCCCCTCATGGAGTGAAGGACACAGGTGCCTGCCACCACAAGGGGAACCTACTTCCATAAAGGGGCAGAAGGCATGCATTTCTACATCCCGCCTCTAGCAGAGAGCCAGGCGATCCATTCCTCATACTGAGCAGAGGAAATTGGAAAATATATATTTATATTCATATATTTATTTATATGTGTATTAATATATATTGGGATTCATATTTATATTCGTATTCATATATAAATATTCATAGTCATTCATATTTATATATATTCACATATATTCATATACATCATCTGATTCACATTTATGTACATATTCATATACATATTTGCATACATTCATAATCATATACATATGCATATGTACATTTATTTGTTTTCATATATAATCATATATACATATATGTATTTGCCAAGAGCCATCCATGAACTGTGAGTGAACTAGAATGATGTAGAAGCCATTGGGCAGGAAAACCTGATATGGAGAACTCTCAGTGGCAACCCTGCTTGTTTGAGACTGCCCAATACATGTTCTTCCTACCCAACTCCATCAACCTGTGTACTGCAAGACCTCTGCCACACTGAGAAGTGAGAATCCTCTCGCTGGAACTTTATCCCTGCCTCTGATGTACTCTCCCTTAAATAAAGAACTGGAGCCATTTTTTGTCATTCTGTTCCAGCTCCTATCAGGACTGGAAGACCTGTCAGGCGCTTTTCTTAATCTAATTTCTGGCTCTGTCTCTATTTTTTAGTAGTTATTTCAGACTTTCTTTTTCTCAGGTGACTTGCACCTTCTGAGCAGGAAACTACCCTGGAGGGTGCTGGCTGCCCATCTTTATAAAGATATATATGTATATTCTTTATAAAGATAAATATAGGGGCAGGGGTTATGACTCAGCAGTAGAGCACTCACCTCACACGTACAAGG